ACATCAGAACCAGCTCAGCCACCTCACCCCAAGGCACCCTCTCTGGGAAGGTTCAGCACGTGGGGCCCGGTGCCCAAAACAAAAAAGAGGCCCCCATGAAAACCACACGTCAGGAGGCAGTGACTCAAATTGACCGCTCCATCCGCTAAGGCATTTCCTCTCCAACACCGTCTCGTGGCCTTGCGCCACAAGGACAGTTGTGCCACGCTGAGGGTTGTAGAGATAGAGACAGAGAGCGAAAAGAAGGAAAAAAAAAAAAAAAAGGCTAGTTTAGCTCTACAGCTCATTTCATCCATTACTGAGGTTTACAACCTAAATCATCCAAGCACACAGGACAGAAAGCAGCTGTCGCACTCCCCCAATTTTGGAGCAGTCTCAGCCCTACTGTGCTTTTCCAGGGCAGCCCCCATCCCACACGTGTCACCTTCAAATGCGAGGGGGCACACACCAAGAGCCATCCCTCTTGAGAGTCAGGTTAGCCCCCTTGCTGGAAAGACGAGCCAAAAAACATTAGGGAAACAGTGACCTACCTGCAAGAGTGGAAAGAGCTGCAAAGGCAACCAATTTACAAAACATCCAAATTTCTCTCTTGCAGAATCCCACATCAGCAGCACAGACTTTGGCCTCCCATCCATCCAGAGCCGCCACTCAACGCCTGTCAGACACAGTTGCAGAAGCAACCAACAATGATCCAGGCACCCATGCCCACATGGCAACACGGGACAGGATCGCCTCTCTCCCTCCAAAAGGAGAGGTGCCTCAGGAACCGCCCACAAACCAGGATTTGAGAAGCCACGGCAACAGCACTGACAAGACCACACAATGGGCTGCATGCACCACTTTGCCACAGACATCACCTCCTTAGTCACCTATGGCCATGGCACCCATTACCCACATCTCCCTGCCAAAGACTTTAGCGTTTCTCCAGAAGTGCCAGAAAGCCACCGTTGGACCCCTTCAGCTTTGGCTCAGAACGCTCCGGGTGGTTCTGCAGCCGGCCGCTCAGCCCCCCTCAGTTAAAAGCCAGCCTATTCTCATAGATGCTTGTGTGGATGATGCCTCAAACCAAGGCGCTCCCCTGACCAGGTGGAAATCCTTCACCAGCCACCTTGAAAACAGTTCTTTCAGGGGCGGCCCTCGCTTCCTCTGCAGACACCGGGCAAATCCTCTCCTCCTGGGCGAGCAGTCGCTCCAACCTCACAAAAAAAACATCAGGCACAAGGAGGAAAAGCAGGACAAAAAAAGGCCTATTTCCACTTGGCTCCAGGAACTCGCCACAACAGCAGACCCGGGGCAGACAACATCTATGTCGCAGAATGCGGATGGACAGCATGCATCTCACGGTGCCTCGCCCATGAGAGGGACTACACTTGAGGCACACGGACAAACAGCATTAGGGACCAAGCTGTATACAGATGGCCATTTACCAGGTTTTAGCCATCAGCTCAGCACCGCCGTTCAACACCCGCGCAAACAAGTATCTGCAGCAGCCTGCATTTCAAAACCAGTCACTTGCACCAGGGTTCTCTCTGGCTGGTTCCCATCGGGACTAAAAACACCACACCTCCATTCAAGTCCATCCACCCTGCAAAGCAGGCAAACGAGCAGAACCCCGACACCCCTCGCTGCGGCCCACAGCCCCCCTGGCCACCCCGGGCTGCTCTGCTTACCTCTGTGCACGGGGCCGCTGTCCACGCTGCCCCCCGAGCCGGGCTTCAGGCAATCGGGTGGGGCCCAGCCCGCGTGACAATGGCAGTTACCCTTGCTGTTGCACACCTGCAACTCACGCACCACAACCCCAGTTACTGCCACCCCCTCTCCCCAATGGGCCCTCCACCACCCAGCCCCACAACACACCGCTCCTTCCCCATCTCCACAGGGCAGCCCGAGCAACCCCGCCTCGGGCAGCGCCCGCGAGCCTCCTGGCTTGGCCACGGCACAAGGCCGCCTCATGCCCCTGGCCCCCTGACCTTCCCAAGGCTCACCGCCCCACCTGGCTGCCTGAAGCCCAGCCCCCTCCCTTCTCAGCTCCCCCGTGCACCCCGCAGCATGCTGCAGGGAACCACCCAGCACGCTGACCCACACC